TGTTGAACCGGGGACGCTCTTATTTATGTGTGTGTACGGGGATGGGCCACGAGAGCCGAAAAATGGAGTGGGCCTATTTTCCAGGACTTCCCACAGGCCCTTTTTTGTGAAAGCAAAAATTAATTAACCATGAATTAAATAAATATTATTTGCAAGTGTATATTGATTTTATGGCAACTTTTATAGCATTTAAAATGTAATAATAAATAGTATAATTGAGCCAATTTACAAATTTAATTCCCAATTGGAACAATTCTAAGCATATGTGCTTCACATATCACAATTTACGATTACGTTCTTTAAGATATTAAGAACATTTTTATACTCTCTTGTCAAATTCTCTCTCGTCATTATTTTTCATTTGCAGCTTCATCGCCGTCGGCCCTAGGCCTGATGTCCTGTGAGTTCTCCGACGGTCGTCTTGAAGGTGCAGATCCTGCACCATCAAAGTATATATCTTTATTCCAAATACATTTTCAAAGAATTGAATGCAAAATTGGAACAAATGTTTGATATATAATTTGCAATTTTAGTTGCACTTTCTTTTAAGTAGATCCATCCAATTACAAGTCATTTAGAAGTTAAGGTAAAAAGAAGAATCCTAGACGTAAAAGAGTAGACTTGATTTGAGGTTAGTTTGGTAAATGTAGTTTTCAGCAGAGACATACCTACCAAATCCATTGTCATATTAGTAAAGAATTAATGGCCATATTTTCAAACATTTGAATACTTTTAAGACTTTTAGTATACGAATAACCGCAAATTACGTTCATCCTCTAATGTAAGGTTAAACTACGAAAAAATCCATCATATTTGGATAATTATATTTGCTCATCAACTACGTATTTTTTTACACATCCATTTTTAAATTGTCTAATTTACTTACTGAAAGAGGGGGGGAGGGGGTGTTTCGTAAGACAATACATAGTTGAGGGGATGGATGTAATTACCGAAAAAAGAGGAAGTGTTTTTGTAATTTGACATGCCCACCCTTACAGTGTAAAATTCAGTGGAATCTTCTAGATTGTGTGAAATATTCTCTAGTTTGTACCCGTTTTACCCCATTCGAGCTCCACATTTTAAAACAAGTTGATCGTAAGATGTGCCTCTTGGCTTGTAAATATCAGATTGTGGTACATCAGAAACTGCATTTTTGCACAAAACAAGTACAAACTAGAGAAAAATTCCAAGTAATCTTGAAGATTCTGTTGAATTTGACACCATAAAAGTGAATATGTAAGAAGATTCATTGTTAAGGGGTGACTGTAATTATCCGAACATGAGGGATTTTTTCATAATTTAACATTACCTTAGGGTGACGGTAATTTACCCTTTATTTTTTCAAGAAAACAATTTATAATGGAAACATTTCAGTCATACTAAAAGACATTTGGGAACTGGTCATTGGCAGGCACTTGCTGAAAATGACAGTTAATAGTCTCTGAGTCTGTTAAAACAAAAAATTGTACTCACAAAAGCATTTGTTAATTCATAATTGAAAGATCAATTTTTTAATACCCTTTTATTTTTTATTTGTTTTATTTTTTTTTTTGTCTAAAGTTGCTTTCACAATCACTCTCAATCAGCACATGACATGCTTTTGTAAGAATATAAAATATATTAATTTATTTTTTCAAAAAAGAAAAAGACAGAAGCCATTTGTACCATGATGATTCAAGAATCACATTCAAGAAAACAATTGTTGGATATTACATGAACATGCATGCCTTTATATATATCTATATATTTCCCCTGCATGCTTCACATAATTCAGATTATATCTTGATTTCATTTTCAATTCTTTTAATATAAATTCTCTGAATAATAAAAAAAAAAAAGACAATTGTGGATGATGATCTAAATCAATATGGGGAAAAAGAAAAGAAGCTGGTTCAGTTATGTCAAAAGACTCTTCACTCCTGTCTCAAAACCAAAATCTGAGGAGGTAATAATAAATTATTTGAAATAAAAATTGAATCTTGATTTAATTAATTATTTCTATTAACAAATTCTGTTGCTTTTGGAGTACTCAGAATTCAAAGAATTTGAAATGGTTATTCCAAAGGTTGAAATTCAGACAGCCTCCTCATCCTGTAATAGAAGCCCCTCAGAAGGCACTAAACGCCGCCACGGAAGATCAGAGGAAACGTGCATTGGCGGTGGCGGTAGCCACCGCCGCGGCGGCTGAAGCCGCCGTGGCGGCAGCAAACGCCGCCGCGGAAGTCGTCCGCCTCACGAACGTCCCGTTCTTCGAACTCCGGTCGAGGAAACAGCACTTTTCGGCGATCAAAATCCAAACTTCTTACAGAGCACATCTTGTAAGTATTTATCTTAAACAAGTACAAATGTATACATACATACATGCATATATACATGTTGAACAAATTTTAATTATGCAGGCTAGAAAAGCATTGAGTGCACTTAAAGGAATAGTGAAGCTTCAAGCGGTGGTACGAGGACAGCTGGCGAGGCGAAGAGTCGTCGTAATTAAGACGCATTTACGAGTACATAGAAGAAGGGTTCCGACTCTTCTTGATTATCTTAATCATGGTGAAAAAAGACTTAGTCTTGGCCAAAGAGAAGGGACGAAATCCGAGGAACTAACGGTACTCGAAAGATTCGTTTTTTTTTAGTCCTCGGTAACTTTTTTAAAATTATAACAAAAACAAAAATCGAATTAAATTGGATAATTTCTACAGTACAAAAACTGGGATCTGAGCTTGGTTTCGAAAGAAAGCATGGAAGCAATGTATCTACAAAAACAAGAAGCCGTTGCGAAACGGGAACGCATGAAGCAATACTCGTTTTCCCATCGAGTAAAAATCTTGAATATATTTCTGCTAAAATAATTATGATTCTTGTTTATTAAGCAAGGATCAAATAGTTTTCGCTTTTTTTATTTAAATCCAGGAGAGGAGAAACGATCAAAGCCTAGACGAACCAATGAAGCTGAATCGTATATTTCACTCGAATAGTTATACAGGTGTCGATGCAAGTCATTTAGCACAAGTGAAGCTGAGAAAAACGTTCGAACAAGAAACAGCAGACGATTTAAACTCGTCTTATTCACAGCCAAGGAGATCGTTTTGTCACGTAAAACAGAGATCGATTGGAGAAGAAGGATCTTTACCGAATTCTCCCGTTTTTCCGACTTACATGGCTTCGACGGAATCTGCAAAGGCAAAGTCGAGGTCTTTAAGCACACCGAAGCAGAGGCTTAGATTGTGCGATACTTACTCTGGCGAAGAATATTCTCCGTTTAAACACAGGCTTTCTTCTTGGAGTTCGTTTAATGGTGAAATTAACAAAAGGAACAGCATTTCTCAGCACTTGTCTTCTACTTTCGGAACATTTAACTGAGATTAAGACAACTCGTAATGTGTATATATACGCATGTCACTCAAAAAAATATTCTTTTTTTTTTTCGGTTTCGAGTCTTTGAACTCAATGTCGTGCTACTGGTTTATTTGGGGTTCCAGTGTTTTATCTGCTTTTATATGGTTTGTCGATCTTTCAGTTTCCTTTATTTCGAACATATGTTTTTGCTTGTTCTGGTGTACGTTTCTTTAATACTGTTACGCTTTGTTCGATTGATAAGATAAGCCATGATTAAGTAAACAATTAGTTCTTATTTTCGGTTCACGATTATAGAAAAACGAGTTCTTCATCACAAACAACTACCTGCACAGATCATAGGTTAAATGTCAGAAAAAAAAAACTGCTGAATTATAAGATTAAAAAAGAATGTCATATAACGAAGTACACAATGAAAATGTTTGACTATTACAACAGAATCTCTCAATTTGAACTTTATTTTCAATCTGCAGAAGATCAATATAATATAGTAGAAACAATTTCATCCGTAGTTTAAAAAACGAACACCTCAGTATTTACAGACGATAATTTACGACGTCCTCAGATCATTTGTCCCTCAAACAAATGACACCTCAAAGTTTTGACTATATTGTCCAAAGCACCTTCCTTCTTCGAAAGATACCTTAAAACTTCTTCTCGACTGTGCAAGATTTTCCCTCCAATGAAATAGTGACACCCGTCTTTCACTATTACACCATGCTCACAAGCCAAATCTAACGCCTCTGTTTCTCGCCATATTCCTTTCCCAAATATTAAACTTAATTCCGCTTTTGCCATCGAAGGGGCTAGTTTGTTTTTAACAACTTGCACAGAAATATCTAGACCTGTTGCCTGACAGCAGAGCAGAGAATCATTCACACAACGATATTATATAGTTTTTCGTTTATTTATTTATTTATTTATTTAATTACCATGTCATCTCTCTTGAGCAACTTTTTTCTGCTGATTCGCATCCGTACGGCAGCGTAAAACTTCAAGGCGTTTCCACCACAGGTTACTTCATCCGCACGAACAGAGCCTTCGACTAATTTCAAATTATTTCTTACCTATGTGGGCTAAGTCAAAAATGATTACAAAATGCGCAGTGTGTATAAGTATATTTATAAAAATAAAAATAAAAATCAAACGAAGTTCACTAACCTGGTTGATAAAAATAATAAGAGTACTGGAATTGCATAGGGAATAATGTATTTTTCGTAGTGCTTGTGTCATTATTCTCGATTGTTGGCCACTTGTGCTTGAGGAACCACATTGTAATTCATCAACTTCAATTTGAGGAACAAGTGCAGCTACCTGCAAAACCATTATAGAGAAAACATTATGCAGAGGATAGCAAATACGGCAAGAATATTAGGAGATTTTTCAAGATAAAACAGAAAAAAACACTATTTTTGTACAGAGATACATACACTGTCAACAACAATTACGGAAATCGATCCACTTTTTGTCAAGGTATCCACCACACTTAGCAAATTCTCGGCAGAATCTGGCTGTGAAATAAGGAGATTGTCTATGTTTACACCTATCGCTTCTGCAAGCGAAGGGCTCATTGCATTCTCCACATCAAGATATGCACAGTAACCTATCAGACAAATAATTTAGTTTCCAACGGAAAATAGAGAATATTGAGTAGTGAAAATCTTCTGAAAGTGAATACGCTGTTTCTTTACTTTTTTCTTTTTTCTTTTTTTTTATATATTTTTTTTATTTGCATCAGTTCAGGTGTCTAATGCACTAACAAGCAAACTACTACAGACAAAAACACAGAACAAGCTCACTAATTAATTACTCATTAAGATTTCTGTAGGCGTCCAAAAAAATCTACCACCTTTTAAACCTACACATTTTAAACTCGTCTACCGGTGCACAATCTACCACCTTTTAAGCCTATTAGTTAGGTGGTGTTTGCAAAAGCTTATTTAAAAGCAGAAGTTAGTGATTGTGAGTTAAGTTGGAATTAAGTGATTATTCCTAAAAGTTGGGGGTGTTTGCAAATTAGCTGGAAAATCAATTAAATGGGTGCTTTTAAAATTATAGCTTAAAGCAACTTATTTTAAGAGAAGCAAAAGCAAAAGCTTATTGTGCAAACACCTAAAAACAGATTATGTGCAGAAAAAAACTCATAATCTATTTGCAAAAGCTTTTGCAAACACCACCTTAGAAGGGTTGTTTTTACATTTAGCAACTTCAGCCTGCTTTTCGAAAATCAATTATCCCTAAAGTTTTGTATTCCAAGATTCCATATAAAAAACTCGAGAAATAGGTGAGTACCTCCAAGCTTTTGAGCCTCTTTAATAACATGAAGCGCAAGTGTGGTCTTCCCCGATGCTTCTTGGCCATAAATTTCAACCATCCTTCCCTAATGAAAACAATAAGATACGTCATGGAAATTCATTCAAAGGTAAAACCTAAAAGACATATTGTTAGAGGAAGGGAATTCTTCTCCTCGTTGATAAATAGCAACTGGAAACGATGCACTAAGCACAGGCGCATTTGTAAAGGTGCAAAAACACAAAAATAAAAGCCTACAATATCACCAAAAGTACATATCTGCAATTTCACACATACAATAAATGAGTAATAACAAAAAAAATGCAAGTAATGTATCGGAAGTAAACCTTCGGTAATCCACCAATACCAAGAGCTTGATCCAGCCTCAACGAGCCGGTTGATATTACAGGGGCTCGTCTAGCACCAAAGAATCGATGCAAAGAAAGCATTGATTCTTTGCCAAACTCCCCTGAAATCTTAGACAGAGCCATACGCAATGCGGTGTCTTTTTCTGTCACCTTGGAATCATCTGAAGTATGATCATCATACGTATATTCCGGAACTTCAACAAAAACCAAGACACACAAAAAAAAGGTAAATAGCAATACTTACAAATACCAAAACACATATATAACCATTAACCTGTCAGCTTTGATTAAACAAAAAACATTGAAAAAATGCAATCTTTTACCTGCTGGCGATGCATGAGTGCTCTGCGCCCTTCTTCCAGCAAATGAATTCTGAAAATTAAATGCAAATTAATACTGAAAATTAACAGTAACCCGGCAAAATTGAATTATCCAGCTGTACAATAAAATACTTACATAAAACCCAGTTCACAAAAAAAAACAGCTACAGATAACCATGTATATACACCCATATATATATATATATATATATATATATATATATATCATATATATATATATATCTATATATCTTTATTTCTCTCTCTCTTTCTCTCTCTCACTCTAATTATATCTCTCTCTCTCAATCTCTCTCTCTTTCTATATCTCTATAAATATACATCTCTCTCTCTCTAAATTTTTTTTTTTTTTTTTTCTCCCCATATATATATATATTTATTTTGTCTTTTATTTTTTCTTTTTTTATATATATATCTATATATATATATATATATATATATATATATATATATATATATATATATATATATATATATATATATATATATATATATATATATATATATATATATATATATATATATATATATATATATATATATATATATATATATATATATATATATATATATATATATATATATATATATATATATATATATATATATATATATACACCATACCTGTGGTTTCGAGGAGAGGAGAGATGAGAGACGATAGGTCGAAAACCGATTCAATCGAAATAAATTAACCGATTTAATTGGAAAGGGAACCATTTAATTTCGACTTTCTTCGCGGAATTTATGCAGAGATGCAAGGAATTAGGGTTTTTCTGCTGTACAGAATGAAAACAATTCTACTTGACAGTGGCGCCAATTTTCGATTGGGGGAAAAGGTAGCTAAAATCGTGGTGCTCTAGAAGTACGTTTTTTGTCTAGCGATTTATTATTTTGTCATTGCATAATTACAATGGGCCACCGGCCCACCACAGCCAAATTTTATTAAAGAAAAGGGGAAAAATACACAAAGAATTTTATAATATTTGGGCCTTAATAAAAAATTGGAGGCCCGTGAGCAGGTTAATCGGGCTTGCTGTTGGGCCTTTAATTAGTAGAAGTAATGAACCGTCAAATTACTAAAAAATTCTCTGTTGTTTGAGTAATTACAATAACGCCCCTCAACTATGAATATGCCTCCACGTTCATTCTTATGGTGTCAAATTCAACAGAATCTTCTAGATTCCATGGAATGTTATCTAGTTTGTACTCGTTTTGCTGAAAAATACAGTTTCTAATGCACCACAATCTGATGTTTACATGTCTAGAGAGTAGAGACACATCTTATGATCATCTTATTTCGAAATGTGGAGCTCGAATGAGGTAAAACGATTACAAACTGGAGAATATTTCACATAATCTAGAAGATTCCACTAAATTTGATACCGCGAGAATTGACGTGCAAAAAAAAATTCCTAGTTGAGGCGTGAATGTAATTACTAAAACCTGAGGGATTTTTCCGTAATTTAACATTTAAAAAAAATAAAAAAGAGGAGCAGTTGTAATAAAATTCAGAAAAAGCGTGCAAAAAGTCAGAGCTTTCTGTTGACCAATTCTCTCTACTCCGTTCACAAAAGCTCGGTCTTCTTCTTCTTCTTCTTCTTCTTCACCTGTTTCATCTGAGTTCTGTAAATTAAACTCGTCAAATTGTAGAAACAAAGTCGAAACGATGTCGTCTGCGATTACTCAGCTCTCATCTTTCTCTTCCATAGCTAACCGCCGGTTGCAGCTCCACGCCAGATCATACTCGCCCCGCCCCGCCTGTTTTCGTCCTGTAAAGGTCGGTCTTTCAGGAATTTTTTTTTTTTTTTTGAAATTACAATTTGTTTCCCTCGAACCCTAAATTTTATTGAATTGGTGTTTGATTGATTTGATGTTATTTTGTTGATGCTGTATTTGTCAATCGAGATTTGTTTTATTCTTCCCATAATTTTCAGTTTGTTTAATTTGGGTTTTAGGAAATGCTAACGAAATAGATTGAATGAACTCCATAATTAGGGGTTTTTGTTCTCTGGAATTGGAGTACGAAGCACCGATTTACATAAGAAAAGAATTGCACAATTGAACACGAGTTTCAAAATTATTCCTAAACGAATCGATAATCAGATACATGAACGCTACCTAAATCGATACCCCGCCGACAATGTCGGGAAGTGATATTGGTTATACAATGCAATTCTTTTTCATTCATAATTTTACCCTAATCTTTTTTTTCAACTGTTTGCATTCTTAACCGTTGATTGAAAAAAGAGTAAAAAGCAGTTTGCCCCCTAAAGTAAGGCCCGTTTTGCACTTTGCCCCCCAGACAAAAAAAATTTGCACGTTTTTACCTAAACTCGCTATTTTGTTGCACAATACCTAAAAATTGCCATTTTCCGGCAAAATTCACCGGAAACCCGAGCACGCGCACCACACGTGAGATTTACAGGGGTAATATTGTCTTTCTCTTACATTCTTGACTATGTTTAATTTTCTCTCTGGTTTTTTTTTCCATCTTTTCTGCCTATTTTTCTATTTCTTTTTTCTTTTTTCTTTTTTTCGTTTTTCCTTTTGTTATTTGCGTGCCTTTCTCTATCAAATTCATTGAAATTCTCCTGTTCTTTTTCCCCTCATTATTCTTCTTCCCCATCCTTTCATCAGTTATCGCAGTAAGAAAATTCTTACCCCAACTTCTTTATCCCCATCATTTCATCACCTATCGCAGCAAGAAATTATTACCCAAATTGTCATAGTGAGAGAAGCGAGTAAATCTTGTGGGTTTCTCTCAAGATTGTTGTACAGGCAACGACATTGAGAATCGACCTTTTGATTATTTTTTATTCCTCCAACAAGACGGTGTGATTCCGACGCATATTCGGTGCCGGAAAATAATATTATTTGTAGCCAAAAGTGGGTGTATTATGAATTCGCGTCCATTTCTCGATCTCGCAAATCGGGGAAGAACAGCTTTTGACGATGATGATGTGAGAGAAACTAGTTTTGTTGTAGCACCCATTTGAAGCAGCAACATTAATCTCTGTAATTTTCCTGATTTTTTTCCCTTTTTCCTTCTCTCTCTCTCTCTCTCTAAAGTACCCACATGCT